ACTGTGATTCAAATAACAGTGCGAGTGATGCGCAGCAGTTCCTTCAAGAAACAAACACGATCCGTAAACCATGCACGTCAAGTTTATTCTTTCTCAATTTTCCTTAAAATAACTAAATAGGAATCAGATACCTCAAACTGTCTGACAGATGCCGGACCAACCTTGTTCCATCTAGGGGACATATGGTACCAAAATAACCCCCCCCCCGGGGTCTAGAATTTTCAAGGTCCCCTCTACTAGGGGTGGTTCGGCATTAGAGAGTGGGAGCAAGGGGTTCTATGGTGTAACGGCTAGTGTAGAAGGAGGGGTGGGTTTAGTTAAGGCCAAAGGACGGTCCATCAAGGCTAAGGGGTAGTTTTGTGGGTCCGCCTCAGATTTATTCTTCTGGTGAAAGTTTGAGCAAAGTATCGCGTTGAAGTATGAGGGAGTTTAGGTGTTGATTTTAAGGTTTAGGGTGAAGTAGTCGAATGAGATTTCGTCCAAGGTTGAATGGAATGTGTTTCTGAAGTTTGACAAAGTTTGTTGAGTTTGTGTTTGGATGATTTGTGTGCAATGTTGAGGTTGCCATGAGGGCTTTGAGTTTGTAGTAATGTATTTGGATATCTGCATCTTCAATGAATGCCAAATAATACCTTTGGAAAGCAGGGCATGATTTCACCAGGGTACTTGAACTTTTTAGTAGGGGTAGCACAAAAATTATGCTACTTATAAAAATGTTATATAATACATGCAGGACAAACCATTAGTCCATTAGTTTTACTCAACGGAACCTCTAATTGCTTCTACCTGTTGAGGCAACTGATCGGCTGAGAGCCTGGCAAGCCTCACCTCAGGTCATGTCAAGCAGTCGATGTGGCTCTGTGCACAAGCGCACTGAAAGGACAGCAACTTGGCAGCTACAATAGGGACGACGTACGAGGATCATGGAACCTCCAGGCTATGGGACTAGGACTCGGACCGGTCGAAGGATCATACCGCGGATACGAAGCGTAGAGTACCGGTAGTGGTAGTTCCTAGGACCAGGCATCCTCTCAGTCTATTTGAGGGATCGAGAGAGAGGAAGAGGGGCCGCTCGCATTTGCAGGAAAGGGAAAGGAGAATGAGGTGAAGGGTCTAAACAAGCTTGTACATCTGTACCACCTCTATTACTTCTCTGAATCCTGATATTATTCCTGCGCGGCCATCGGTGATCGCAAGTATCATCACTATAGATACTTCATCACTGTCTACTTCGTGTGTATAATGATATCCCAGGTGATACACTAGCAAGTAAATACATTGGAAAACGTGAGGAGACAAACTTTTATAAATCAATTTAAAATTTCAATGATTTTTACGAACACCCAAAAAATCTATTCATTCCTCTTTATTTTCCTTACCAAATCCCTATTATATTTTATTCAATTGAAATAATAGCTGCGCATTGGTGCGGATCATCACACAAAATAACCAAAAACAAACGAGCGCACACACGGAGTGTGCCAGAGCAAACATAATATCAATCAAAATTATGAATCCTTCAAGGATCATATAAGTAATAAAAAAATCTATGTGGGGTGAAACCGCAAAATATTAAACACGTTGTTTTTGCGAACCCCCTCTAAGTAATTAATAAATTATATTATATTTTATTATATGTAAATCATAGCTGCACATTGCTGCGCATTATTACATGATATAACCAAATATAAACGAGCGTACCCACGGAGTGGGCCTGAACAAACATGCAAACCCTTGCAAAACCCTGCTAATCCTTGAAGCGTGGAGGGTTATTCAATTAATCATAAACCCTCCACTAAACCCTTCACTTCACAAATCATTACCAGAATCATATATATTTAATTATTTATCTGTATATATAGACGACTGAGTGGAGGGTGTGGAGGGTGTGGTGGGTTTTTTTCTGAACTTCTCTCAGTTGATCGATCTTGGCCTATTAGTAATTGACCTCACAAACCCTCCAACCTTCCACACTCTCCATCCGCTCAAAAACCTACCCCCCGCCTACCCTCCGCCTACCTCCTTTTTATTAAACCCCCTTTATCATTACCATTATTATACTAAATTATATTTTTTATTTTATTATTATCTATCTTTCTTTGTTATAAATGAGCACTAGAAAAGGCAACACATGGATTCAAGCGCTGAAAGAGTTCAAGAAAGGTCATTCTGGCACTTGGTGCATTGTCAAGAAAGGATCAAAAGAATATGATCATGTTAAGGGGATCATGCAAGATCTAAAAACTTATGACGGCAAATTACCAAATAAACAACATGCAAAACCTGTTAAACCTATGAAACAAGATATTGTCAATGCAAATCAGCAATACAAGGATAAAGCGAGTGTTGGACCTAAACAAAAGAAAATGACAAAAAAAGAAAGATATGATAAAGCAATTAAATTAAAAGTTGGAGATATCAAAAGCAATAATAAATGCCCCGTGTGTGATCATCAATTTGATAAAACACCATCAAAGAATGAATTTATTGCGCATGTGAATAGCGACAAACATAAGAAAGTATTGTCGAATTCAAAATTTATGCTTGAATTTGATAAATAAATATTTTATTATTTTTATCTATCTTTCTTTATTATAAATGAGTAAAAAGAAGCTAATTCTTGGATTGATGCCTTAAAGACTTATAATAAGGCACATTCTGGAGGAGATCAAGAAAAAGGCCTTTCTCTTGGTGGTGCTTGGTGTGTCCCAAGGAAAGGAACACCAGAATATGAAGCTGTTAAAAATATTCACGACTACAAAATTAAAAAAACACCTTTGAAAGATGAAGATGCAAAACTTAAGAAAGAACACAAAGAAAGAGTGAAATTTATATTAGGGTCTGATGTGGTCGGTGGCGGGAAGCTTAATGATGCACATAAAAAAATGCTGAATCATTTTTGATTCCCTAAAAAATAAAACTATTATTTAAATGAGCAAAAAGAAAAATAATTCTTGGAAAGGATCGAATACTTGGTGCATACCAAAAAAAGGAAGTCGTCACATGGAAGCAGCTAAAAATATTAAATCATATCTTGATCTTAGCGATGCAGATAAAAAGAAATATTTCAAAGTTTCCCCTGTTTCAAAAGAAGGCATAAAAATAATGACTGATAAGGTCAATGAACCACACAATTAAAAAAGAAAGAAACTTATTATGATAAGGACGGGAAAAAAAGAACAAAAACATTCATTCAAGAATATAGACCTTATCAAGGCATATATTTGAAAGATGACATAGAAAATTATACAAAACTATTAATGAAAGGCAGCAAAAAATACTTTGGGGTCGGTCTTTCAAAAACAAAGAGAAAAAAAGAGTTTGGAATTCAAGATTTAGAACCTAATCAACAATATAAAAATAAGGTTGGACCTAACCCACAGAAAAATAAACCTAAAGATGATGGCTTAAAATTAGTTTCGATCAGTAAGGAAGATTTTGCAAAAATGAAATTTTAAATGATCTTATTTTTGGTTTTTTATGTAAGGAAACATAAAACTACATAAGAAAAATAATTATCTATATATATTATAAAGGATGAATCGCCAAAAAAGAAACCCTCAACCAGTCCAGAATCGGTTCAAACCTGAGAATTCAAAACCAAGCCAAAGGCACAAAAACCCAAGAAGCAACCAAAGCAACCAAAGCAAAATCGGCCAAAGCAAACACAGCCCAAGCCTGCACAAGCAAAGAGCTAATCGAATCACGATCCACCTCACTGGCCAGAATCTATTTAACCCAAGATCCACCAAAGACTAACTCTCAGTACACCTGAGATCCTTACACCAACCTCATTCACCTCCTGAACGATACACAGCTGTGCAGTCTCTAACACCTTCACTGATGGTTGTAGAACTCTCAGAAGAACCACACAACACCACCAACACTTCCTTTATTCACAGCAACCACCTTCCCTTCAATCCCTTGCAACCCAATCACAATGCACAGCGCTCTGGACACGTGTCCTCCTACCCCCCTCTTCACTGCCTGACCCTCAGGCTCGTCGATTCCTTAATTCCAGACCTATGTCAAAACCCACTTCCATCTCGCTGAGCTTCGTCCACCGATGAGACGCAATACCCTGAACTTCTCGCCGTCTCTAAGAACTTATCCGAGTTCTTACACCCTCCCTGACGAAGCTAAGCGAGATTCTCAGCTTCCTTTTCCATTTCATCCGTCATCCTCTGGAAACCCCTTTTTTCAAACATCTCCCTGCTCCGGAGGCTCCTCCAAGCTGCAACACCGCGCTCTCCTCCTCCAAGCTCAGCGGCTGTTTGACTTTTGTGTTTCATAGGACGAACGTCACGATATGAACCCCGAGAACGCATATATCCTGATGGTTCTGAAACCGTTATCGAGTCATGTCTTTCAAATCGACATGCCAAAGCGAATTGACATCGTCGGCTCGATCCTGTCGAAAAGACGACTGCTTATGCACAGGACGTGACACGAATTTAGCAACTCGACAGATATGACAAGGAGACGCGACAATGCGTCGATTGTAAGTCACATATCTTATCCTCCTTCGCTTCAACTGCGCACCCTGGTGCACCTGCTCTCCTCCTCTGCGTCCGCACTGGCCCATTTCACCTGAGCACCTCCTCCGCTTGACTCAACCCTGTGGCACCTGCGCTCCTCCTCCGCTTGAGCTGCGGCCGCAGTGCGGTCGCACCCCGCCAACAGTGCACCTGCGCTGCTCCTCCACCTGAGCTGCGGCTGCTCCCCGCCATTGCAGGGCCTGCGTTGCTCCTCCAGCGCTTACGCTTCAGCAGCACTCCTGCAGCACCTGCGCTGCTCCTCCACCTGCGCTCCGGCTGCTCCCCGCCATTGCAGGGCCTGCGCTGCTCCTCCAGCGCTTGCGCTTCAGCAGCACTCCTGCACCACCTTGCACTCGGGCTCCTCAGCTTGTACCATCCGCATGCCACTAGAGACGCTCCTCATCCGCCTGCGCTGTCCGCATGCTCCTGTGCTCCTCCTCATCTTCCATCATAAACTCTTCCCTTCCAATCAAGCTCCAGAGATCAGGTTCAGAATTCTTGCAATGCATTGATTGATCTCTGATTGTTTTGAACACAATTTTCTCGTTTCTAATCTATGGGCCCTTTCTATCCTATCCACCCCGGGGATCATTGTTTTGCCAAGGCACAAAATCATTTTGACGTTCAATTTCATCGTTCACTACCGTCATGGGTTCCATAGATCAGGATGAGCGAGTTTCTAAGATACTAACCTAGAACAGATGTCTTGGTTGCAGCTAACCACAAGCTTGAGGAAGACGTGTCTGTCTTTATCCTCCTTCCGATTCATCCGATTCTTTCACGTTCTCCATGAGAGTCTCCTCGGTGACATCACCCGAGACACCCTCCCTGAATCGGATAGAAGACGGAAGACTGATAGTTCTTGAGCAACACGGACTCGGTGGCAACGGTCCGAGACACCCTCCCTGACTCGGGTAACAGACGGAAGATAAAACCTGGAAGCCACCGCAGCAGGATCCGATCGGTTGAATCTCCCTGTCGGAGGCTGGAGCGGCGGATCACCGTCAACCACACACGGGGCATACAACTTTGACGGACGGCATGGGAACAGAGTAGCACTGTCACCGACAGAAGCGCAGAGAGCATGACAGGCGAGCATCCTCAGAGCAGCATATCAGGTAAGGGGCCTCCGAAAAGAAATTCACCAATGAGCCTCCACCGATTCAAAGGCAGAACTTTCGTCAGCAAATCACCAGGCTGATAAGAAGTATGAATCTTTTCTGGATAGAGCTCGTCCTTTTCTACCAAATCAACAGCATACTTCGTTCGAATATCAATGTGCTTGAGTCGACTGTAACTTCGCTTGTCCCACAAAAGCCTCAGACATGGTTCATTGTCGATTAGCAAGAGAGTAGGACGAGTCTGCATAAATCCCATCTGACCCAAGAGATTTCTATAAAGCTTGACTAGTTTTGCGCATGTGGTGGCAGCATAAATTTCAGCTTCTGAAGAACTCAGGGCAACAACCTTCTGCATTTTGGATCCAAAGACGACTACCCCACCATTCAGAACGATTCCATATCCGCTTTGACTCCGTCTCGTGATAATCTCGGTACCCCAACCAGCATCACTGAATGCAATCATCTCATTGACAAAACACTCCTGGTGGTAAGAGACACCGTGACAATGGTATACAATCTGAACCTCCCGAGTAGTGTAAAGGTACTGTAGAAGATGAATTAAGGCATCCAAATCGCACTGCCGAGGAGCACGAGCAAAGCGACTAAGGACGCTCGTTGCGAATGCGATATCAACCCGCGTACAATGTGCCACGTAGAGAATGGACCCCAGGAGACTCTGATAAGTGCGGACTTCCTTCTTGTTCAACAACTTACCCTCCAAGTGATAAGTCTTGAGATAGTGACCAGGTAATACCGTTTTGACGCCCCTGGCAACTATTTCAAAGCGTTCAACAATCTTTTCAATGAAATGCTGTTATGACAAAGTTATCCGACCCTGATCGTCATTCTGTTCGATGCGAATGCCCAAGAAGGTACCTGTTGCCTCACTCCCCGAAAAGTCGAAGACTGTGTTGAGCTTCTCAAGAAACTCAATCTTAACTGCTTCAGTTTGAGAGACAATGAGTAAGTCATCCACGAAGACAGTCAGAAGCAAGACAGTTGGAGTATCGGTAGATGATCTCATCATGTCCTATCCCACTTGCTCCCACCGTCTTCAACACCTGCGTGAACTTAAGATACCATCTCCTAGGTGCAATGCGAAGTCCATAGAGCGACTTCAAGACTTTGAGGAGGCACTCAGGAGGAAGACTCATGATATCTGGAGGAATCAAATACACAGGAACCTCCAAGTCACCATACAAGAAAGCAGCAGAGATATCCCTGAATGTGATTCTCCAACGAAGTTGCCTGCCGCGATGCTCAGCAAGAGCCGGATATTGTCCAACGATGTAGTCGGTGCAAACAATTCTTCAGATGAAGGGAGTAAGTTGCCCATGATAACTAGCCGCCCCTTTCGTTTCAAGATCTTGCCCTTCAAGTCTCGTTTTGAAGCATACACCCACAAGCCGCGAGCAAGGACAGAATGATTTGACTCCCTGTTTTTCTGATCACGCGTAACAACTTCCCAGACGCCTCGACTTTCGATCTTCGCAATTTCCTCCTTTTCAGCCTGCTCCCAAAGATGCCATAACATCTCTGACCTTGTCTTGGGATCTGGTAACTTGTCAAAACTACTTTCGTTCTCCACATTTCCTGCATCGCAAGCCGCTGTCATTGCGTAATCTGCCTGACTCAGGCCTCTCTCAGGCATTGCAGCTGGATTGTCACGGTCGGAAGACATCAGAGATAACAAGTCAGACGCCAGCTCCACCGCGTCCCGGATGATACGGGAGAGACCAACGCTAGATTCGCCACAAGAAGACGCGTATCCCTGAAAGTAGAGTCCACATCAGCACTGACCTGTGGGGCAGATGACACAGGATCGACATGCTGTAAACGAGTTTTGTACATCTCATCCCTCCATACTGGAACAAAACGCGGGCATACTGGCTGACTGCCTGTCATGTTATCATCCGCCCTGTCCCAAACATACAAGATTTCTTCAGACTCAGTCGACCCGTGCACTATATTTGTTACTGGCATGCAGGTACTGCGGAAATTGCTTGTGCTGTGAGAGTACAACAACTTCAGGTGATCCACCCACTGTAGCTTCGACAACATCCATGATCTCATCCGCTGCCCGGTCAAGGTAGGTTTTGAACACTTTTGTATGGTCGGACATATCACCAAAGACGTTCGGTGGAAAGCTGCACGAATAACCACTGTTTTCGCCTGACCCCGAGGATCTCTTCTTGCCCACTGCAACTTCTCCGACAGCCTGCTGTTCATTCCGTACCAACGGTTCACTTGCCACAGTGATATTCACCACTGACACGTCTCCCTTCGCATCCATCGCAGGCGTCACGGTCGTAGTCGTCTTGCTTCTAGTTTTTAAGATGCGCCCCCAGTGGAATATTTCGTCGAGAGAAATCTTTTCTGGTCTCATATTACTCTTCTTCCAATTTCGCAATTCTCTATTCAATGCCAATGACTGCAACGATTCACAAGTCGATTCTTTACACCTGGCATGCAAGAGTTCTGCTATCTGGATCTCTAACGGTCCCATTCTTTGGTGTGCTCCCACAACACCTTGAATACTATCCTTGAGATTCTTAATATGAAGTTTTGCGTCTTCATCTTTCAAAGGTGTTTTTTTAATTTTGTATTCGTGAATATTACGAACAGCTTTATATTCTGGTGTTCCTTTCCTTGGGACACACCAAGCAGCACCAAGAGAAAGGCCTTTTTCTTGATCTCCTCCAGAATGCGCCTTATTATAAGTCTTTAAGGCATCAATCCAAGAATTAGCTTTCTTTTTACTCATTTATAATAAAGAAAGATAGATAAAAAAAATAAAATATTTATTTATCAAATTCAAGCATGAATTTCAAATTTGACAATACTTTCTTATGTTTGTCGCTATTCACATGTGCCTTAAATTCATCCTTTGATGGTGTTTTATCAAATTGATGATCACACACGGGGCATTTATTATTAGTTTTGATATCTCCAACTTTTAATTTAATTGCTTTATCATATCTTTCTTTGTTTGTCATTTTCTTTTGTTTAGGTCCAACACTCGCTTTATCCTTGTATTGCTGATTTGCATTGATAAGTTTCTTAGGTTTGACAGGTTTTGCATATTGCTTATGTGGAATATTACCATCATATGTTTTTAGATCTTGCATGATTCCCTTGACATGGTCATATTCTTTTGATCCTTTCTTGACAACACACCAAGTGCCAGAATGACCTTTATTGAACTCTTTCAGCGCTTGAATCCATGTGTTGCCTTTTCTAGTACTCATTTATAATAAAGAAAGATAGATAATAAAAAAAAAAGAATATAATTTAGTATAATAATGGTAATGGTTGCCCCCTGCGACGGACAGAGGGTGTTTTTTGGGGTGTAAGGTATGTAGGGTTGGAGGGTTTCCTGAAACTTTTGTTATATATATAAATTTGGTGGATTCCAAAACTTAGTTTCAAACCCTACATACCCTACATACCCTACATATGGACGTGTATATATACAGATAAATAATAAATATATGCTCTACATTAATAATAATATAATATATGTAGGGTTTTATGTAGGGTTTGTTATTAATGTAGGGTTTATGTAAGGTTTGCAAAACAACGTGTTTAATATTTTACCCCCTCACCCCACATAGATTTTTTTATTACTTATATGATCCTTGAAGGATTCATAATTTTCATTAATATTATGTTTGCTCTGGCACACTCCGTGTGTGCGCTCGTTTGTTTTTGGTTATTTTGTGTGATAATCCGCACCAATGCGCAGCTATTATTTCAATTGAATAAAATATAATAGGGATTCGGTAGGGAAAATAAAGAGGAATAAATGAATTTTTTGGGTGGTCGTAAAAATCATCGAAATTTTAAATTGATTTATAAAAGTTTGTCTAATCACGTTTACAATGTATTTAGTTGCTAGCATATAAGAAATCTTTATCCAAAAATGAAATGATCCAGATCAAACAAGAAAAAGGATTCACTGACCCACAACCTGCGGCCGCTGAAACAATCAGGATTAAACAAGAACCAACCGATGAGATCCAACCACAACCTACGCTGCGCTTGGCTTCGCCAACGATAAGGCAACCAAATAAACCACCTATAAAAGATCCTAGAATTAGCGAGAGAGCAAGGCAAAAGAAATATTATGATAAGAAGAAAGCCGATATATTAGAAAGAAAAAACAGCAATACGAAGATAATAAGGACAAAATAACAGCTCGAAAGATAGTTAAACGATTGAATGATATCATTTCAACCGGTGGCACTGCCAAGCCTACAGCCGCAAGCATGGCAACATACCAACTATACAAAGAAGGCAACACATGGAAGAGCCGGACAATCTAATTTATATAAAAATGATTTGATTATTTTTAATATATATAAGTAAAATAAACTTTCTCACTTATATATAAAGTTGAAACATACCCAACTATGACCAAGGCACAGGCTCGCTATTACAAGAAGAGATTTAACAACGATGAAGAATTCCACGACAAAGAATGCAAGAGAGTATGCGAATTTAGAAAAACCCGATATGCAAATGATGAGGAATATAGAAACATGATCAAACAAAAGGCCCTTGAATATTATTATAGGAAGAAGGCAGAAAGAGAGAATCAATCATCTAATTAATGCAGTGATACAGTCTTTTTTTATTTTTTTACTGTTATAATGGTAACAAAAATAAATTGCAAGGATTTTTCCGATTTTTGATAAAAAATGATATAAAGTAAAAAATGAATATAAGTAATAAAAAAATCTCAACTATAATTAAAAGGATGACTTTTCGCTTGCCTTCTGCAACTTATGAAATTCAAGGTGCTATTCAAGACTATGAATATATTAGGCATGATTTAGAGTTCAAATGTGTCCCCCTCTATCCTCAAGATCCAAATGATAGGGACAACAAGGAGTTTGAATCTGACATGATCATTAAAAAAACATATGCCCTTGCTGCTGGCTGGAACGATACAAAAAAACACAACAAAGAGACATTCAAGATCTGGCACAAATTAATTGATAACAAAATAAACAACAATAAAGGCGTTCTTTATGCTGTTCTTACTGGAAAGATCAATAATATCACGGTCATTGATCTTGATATTTTAAAGGCTGAGAACAGGAATGAAGAATTTGAAAACTTGGTGCAATCTGCTGAAACCTTTCAAGTCTCAACACCAAAAGGCGAACATCACTATTTCCTATATTGTCCATATTTGAAAAATAAAATTGGCTTTCTTGGTTATATTGATATCCTCAATGATACAAAATGCGTCATTGGTGCGGGGACACTCCGTGATGATGGATTTTATAGCATTCTTGAAGAAAATGAGTTAAAACCCATCTCAAAAGCATTGTTTGATTTTATCCCAGATAATTTAAAAAATGATTTTGAAAAAGATTATTACAAGCTTATGAATAATGCGGTATTTGGTAAGACTATGGAGAATGTAAGAAACCGTGTTCAGGTCAAACTACCAACTACATTAAAGAAGGCTCAAAAATATACAAACTCACCTAATTGTACTAAGTGGGAAATTATAGACGAAAACATGCCTTTAGTTTCCTTGAAAGAAAAAAATGTAAAACTAGATAAACCTATTTATGCCGGTTTCTCTATATTAGACTTGTCAAAATATTTAATGTATGACTTCTATTATAATATAATGAAACCTAAGTATGGTCAAAATCTTAAGCTTCTAGCAACTGATACCGATAGCTTCTTCTTTGCTGTGTATACAGAAGACCTTTATAAAGATATTTGGGATATGCGCGAACATTTTGATATGAGCGAATACAGCAAAGAGAACCCATTATATGATGAAACAAATAAAAAGGTTATTGGAAAATTTAAGGATGAATTAGGGGATAATATTATGAGCGAATTCATAGGAGTACGACCTAAATGTTATTCTTATAAGAAACATAGCATTAAAGACGGATATAAAAATATAAAGAAATTAAAGGGTGTTCCTTCTTCAATTGTAAAAACAGATATAAAACACGAAGACTATGATAAATGCGTTAGTGAAAATAAGCCCCTTTCTTGTAAGGTACATGGTATTCGAAGCTCAAAGCTTCAAAATTACGCAATACAACAGGTTAAAACAGCTTTGAGTAATACAGATGATAAAAGATACTGGGATTTATCTTTAGGTTATCAAAGTCTAGCATTAGGACACAGGGATATAAAATAAATTCTAATGCGTATTTTTGGGAGGGTACGCATAAGATACACACAGAGACAATGCGGGAAATTTTTTCAAAGCAAACACATCATAACTTTTAATTTTTTTCTCATTTTTTCACACCATAACATTAAGCTTTTGAAAATATTTACGTTACACATCAAATATTCTAAAAAGCTCACCATTATGATGCTAAAAACTTCACTTGGAGTGAAACCGCAAAATACTTAACACACCCCCTTGTGGTCGGCCGCTGTCGCCAGCGCCTTCCCGCCTGCAGCCAGCAGCAGGTCGAAGGTGCCAAACTCTCCCCGGTCGCTGGCCCAGTGAGCGCAGGTCTTGCCGTCGCAGTCAGGGGCGAGGAGGACCTGAGGGCCGGCGAGGTCGACGATCTTCGAGAGGATCGGGACGTCACCGCGATAGGCAGCCCAGTGGGCGCAGGTCCGGCCGTCAGCGTCCGCCGCCTCCACAACCTCCCTGCCTCCCACCTCGATGAGCATGTCCAGCGCCTTCACTTCTCCCCATTCAGCTGCGATCAGAGCGCATGTCAAGCCCTTCCTGTCCGCTGCTATCGCCAGCTCCCTCCCGCCACTCTCCAGCAGCAGCTCGAGGGTGTCAAATTTCTCGCGCACTACAGCATGGTGAGCTGGGGTTCTGCTGAACTGATCCACATCATGAACGATCGCATCCCCTCCAACGTCCAGCAGCATTCGAAGAGCCTCCAGGTCTCCTCTGTCCGCGGCGATATGCGCGCATGTCAAACCCTCACAGTCCGCTGCTCGAGCGGCTCCCATGCCCCCGTGGCTCAGGAGGGTTTTCAGCACGTCGAGTCTTCCAGTCCTCGCGGCCCAGTGAGCGCACGTCCTCCCCTCCCGGTCAGCCGATGAGGCAAGACAGGCTCCTCCTACCCTCAGCACGAGCTGTAACAGTTCCTCGTCCTGCAGATCGGCGGCTGCATAGAAGATGTCAGCGAGGATGCTGCTCTGAGAAGTCTCAGCGGCGAGATCCAACGCTGTCTTCCCGTCCTCTCGCTGCGCCACCACCGCGTCCCGCAAGCTCCTCCCCTCGACGAGGAGGTGAAAGACTTCGACGTGGCCCCTGCTGCATGCGAGGTGGACGGCAGTCGCTCCTGCTGCATCCTTGAGGTCAACGTTGGCCTTGTGCAGCAGCAGGAGCTTCACGCACTTGTCGTATCCCATCAAGGAAGCAGACTGCAAGGCTGTCTTCCCGTCCTTGTCAACCGCATCCACCTCCTTCCCAGCTGCCAGCAGCCTCTCCATCCCCTGGATGTCTCCACTTGCCGCCGCCGACGCCAACGGCGATTCTCTCGTCTCCATGACGTCACCAATGGCCTCGAGCATGCGCGAGCGCTCGAAGATCTGGTCGGACAACCTCGCCTTCTCCTCTCCTGCCGTCTCGCTGCTGCCTGCCCGCGAGTTAAGGAGAGCGATAATGTGTCTCCCTACGACGACGAGGGAGTCCTGGTTGTACCAGTCCCTCTCCCTCACGCAGTGATCGAACTTGTCAGCGCACATGGCAGCGAGGTAGACAGCAAGCTGCATGGCGCTTGCGTAGTTCTTCTCGTTGTTGAACCAAACATCATCTCTGCTCAGGTAGATCTCCACGACTCTCTCGCAGTCTGCCTGAGTCTGCAGCCGAAGGGAGTCCACCTGCCCGACTTGGAGCGAGGAGTCTTGGCTGAGAACCTCCTGCATCTTCACCTGCAACATCCTCCTCACGTCCTCCTCAACATTCCTCATCACAGCGACGTAGAGGTTCTTCCGTCGGGAGATCATGTCTTCGATGGTTGAGCACGACGAGTTCGTGCTGATCTTGGTCGGCACTACCCGAACGAGGAGCTGGACCACCTTCCCTTCCTCCAACGCATACTTGACCAGCTCCACCCGCGGCTTCCCCACGACCTCAAGGTACGAGAGGGGAGGATACAAGATCTCGTCCTCTCCTGGGTACTGTGAGAGAAACCGCAGGGAAGCCCCACGATCGACTGCTCCGCAGGAGATTTCGAAGAGCGTCGGAGCTTGTCCCTTCAGGTACTGGATCGCCACCTCCTTGTTCAAGGTCACGCTCATCATGCCATACTCCACCCCCCCCGTAATGAGAAACTCGTCTTCCTGCAGAAATGCCCGAGGGAGCGCAACCCCTCCCAGCCCGCGGAAGAGGAGGCGGCTCCTTGGGAGGGGCATAAAACTTGATAGCTTGATGATGCCGCTGACGATACAGAAGAGGGTCGTGGGGTACTTGTTGCCTCTCAGCTCCTTCACTGTCTCAGCAGGGAACCCACGTAGGACCGCGTTGTACTTGAGGTACATGGGTCCTGCAAGAAAAACTCTATCACGATCTGGGAGATTGCGGCGTAGGGAGGAGGGAAGTGGGAGGAGGGATTGGGGGGGAGGAGAAGTGAGCAAGGGGATGGGTGAGGGGGTGGGGCATGAAGGGAGAGCCAAGTAGGAGAAGTGGAGGAGGACGATGGGGAAGAGGACGAGGAGGAGTACGCGTAGGAGTAAGCATCTTACCAGTATAGAGGATGAGAGCAATTATCTCTTCCTTTCTCAGTTTTGCCCTCACCACCGCCTCCTCGCCCATCAGCTGCTCTACACTCCTCACGATCCTCTTCCCCTGGCACGCCTTGACTCGCTCCTCCTCCTCTGTGACCGCCCTCCACTCCTGAGCAGGAGAGGTCTCGAGCAGGTAGTTGGGCGTCCTGAATGTGTCCCTCGAGTCTGCCCTCTCGCAGTGCTCCTGCTGCATCCCATCGTAGAAGTTGAGCATGGGATACCCTATCCTCTCCAGCAGCCCCTTGTGGAACTCCTCCAGTTTTCCGAATTCTGCGACGCAGAACTTGTCGTTGATCGGCTCGCTGGCGCCCTCAAGGAGGCGGGAGGCTTCCTCCTCGGCCTGCAGGAGGTTCTTCAAGCTCAAGAAGCTCTCCGCCAGCCTCGACGCCACCACACCCTGGCACCACATCGCCACGTCCTCCAAGGATGAGCTCTGCAGGAACTGTAAGGGGTTGTCAGGGGATCCCTCGGGGATGCACTCGGCCAAGGTCCTGATGACGTCAGCTTGCGAGGACTTCGCCAGGAAGCTCTGCTTGCTCAGCACCTCCCACTCCCTACAGATTGATCCACAGAACTCCTCGAACGTAGACGACGAACGTCGCCTGTCCACAAACACATCCGAGCTCAGCCCGAGCTGCATCGGGATCTCTCCGCATTCTTCGTGGAAAACTCCGAGGTCGTTGGCGATCGCGGAAGGGGAAGGAGAGGAGGAGGTCTTATCAAAGAAAGCACGCAAGCGCACAGCTTGCTCAGGGCTCAGCTTCCAAGCACTGCCCCCCTTCATCTCGTGCCTCTTGGAGGGGGCTTCTGAACTCGTCACTGAAAACTTCCCATGGCGCCCCTTGTCGAATTCGTCCACCTGGCAGTTTCATGTCAAATCACCCAAACACTCGAAATTGCTCCACCTTGCTCGCCCTGCTGTTGGGAGCTTTGGTAACATTCGCATCTTGATCTGGAATAATCGATTGGACCGATGATCCACAGCCCATCGTCTCTCCCCGCCTCCCAGCGCAGTGCCTGTCAAAGAGCAACTCTTGAATGCAGTTTCGTTGCAAACACCCAACAATGACCACAGAAACGAGCGCGAGAAGCAAAACAAACAAAGGTAGAAGGCGGTTCAAACTCTAAAAGGCGGATCAAAATCATGCCTTCTCATACCCTTCAACTTCCCTAAAGCCTGATCCAACTCAACTCCTTCTGGTATGCAAATCATGACAACTCCCTGGCAACAACCCAGAAAGTTGCTCGCTCCGTTACAGTCATTGACCTACAACTTAAACTTTTCTTGTCCCGACCAACCACCAACATGATATCTCATCCTCTCCGTTCCTCTGCTCTCCTCGCACTTTCCCTCCCTCCTTCCCCCCTCCACTCCCTGCCTGCTCCCTCCCCTGCTTCCGCCCATTCCCCGACAAACTGCCAATCCAAAACGATGACTGTGTGTCTGCATGCGTCATGCGTTGCAACGTATGTCGGGGTAAATGGCTATTAAATAGAGGGGTACTTTGAATGAAATTAGGAAAATATGCAATGGCAGCACCGAGCCATCTGGGAAATAACTATACACCCCTATCAAATCACCTCTACCCCTAGTAAAGCAGTAATTGGAAGGGGTGAATGACATGTACAACACATAGAGGATAGGGGGTGGGGTACAGGCGGGCGAGGGGTGGTGCATAGCCCCATAGCGCCATAACGGGAGCCTGACGATGCTGAGCAATTTTCTACCCAACGGCGCCACTGAGCAGGTGAGAGGAAGAGGAGCAGGAGCAGAGGAAGATGGGAAGGAGCAGGAGCAGGAGCAGGAGCAGGAGCAGGAGCAGGAGCAGGAGCAGGAGCAGGAGCAGGAGCAGGAGTAGGAGCAGGAGCAGGAGCAGGAGCAGGAGTAGGAGCAGAAAGGCGATATGTGTTGAAGGGATTGGAGAAACTATCAGAGAGTATCGAAGGCAGGTGGGACGGCGGGGCCTTGGCTGGCGGGGCAGGCCGTAGATGTAGCAACATGAGGACAGGCAAAGCTCTTGCACCATCCACATTGGGGTTTGACTGAGCAGTCATCGGCAAGAAGATATTTTTTAGGCGATGACTTCTTGGATGATTGCAGGCTGCTTACAAGAACCAAGTTCTCACGAAACTATGGGAGATGCAAGGGCTGGGCAAGGCCACAACCCCTGCTGCGGTCTCGGACACTTCCTTCTATGCCACAGGAGCGCCAGGAAGCACTCCCGGAGCTGCAAGTCTGCTTCAGAACAAGTAGCTCCCTTGCATTAGCTTGCGAACACTGATGTCTCGGTTTCTCAGGAAAGTTGCTGGTGGAGACCTTGGAAAGGCCATGAGCATTTTCAACCAATCGTTCCAAACAGACCCAGTCTCCTCGCGAAGGCAGGGACGCATTTTGTAGAGTAGACATGGTGTTGCGGGAAAATCTTTAAACTTCAGCTTTCTTTTGACTTCATTGCTCTTGTCACAACCTTATATCACAGCTGGTTCGGGAAAGTGCGAACAAACGGAATGTTCATTGTGTCCGACATGGGGATACGACACACTGATTGTTGAACGATCTGTTGTCACTCGTCCTCGTCAGGTGCATCGGCAAACTGCTCCGAGCACAGATTGTCAACATCTCCGGGCTGGGGCCTTGCAACCGAGAGTCAATCCCCGCGATGGGAAACAAGAAATGATCCTCACATGTTTAGAAGGGCATCGTAGCGAGCAAGCGCTTGCTGCTGTGCAACGGCCTGCCGAATCAAATCAGCGCGAGAAGACGGGGAATGCAGGGAGGGAGTCAGGGGGAGAGGAGTTAGAGACTGAAGAACGAAACGAGGCAGGACGAGCAACAAAGTGAAGGTGCCGTTGGGTAGCGAGCAAGAGAGCAAGGGAGGGGAGAGGGTGGCTGGAAGGCAGCGTACCATGTCTGTAACATTCATCATACAAATATTTGAGCTGGCACCCGCGGCAGAGTCATCGAACATGAAATCCCCCTCGTCATCTACAGCTCAAGAAGTCAAGGCTTGAAGCACAAGCAGGAGATCTGATACCGTCATCATGCTCATCAGGGTGGAGAGCTTGACATTGCGAGAAGACGCTGAAGACAACCCCAAGAATCTGATGAATCCCAATGAGTTATCAGGCATCCGCCGTAAAGTAGAGTGGTCACGTTCGGGTCGTCCATGACGAATCGCATTTCATGGGAGGGTTCATCCCCCTCCATCCCCTCCTCCTCCTCCTCCTCCTCCTCCTCCTCTGCTCCATTCATCTTCGCGTCCGGCGCGCTTTGACTACAATTCGCTATCATCTCTCGCACGGCATCGTCTGCGAGGACCTGAACAGCTTCAGGAAGCGAGGGCGAAGCAATGCACGTGCTACCTGACAGTAGATGCAAGGGTGAGGGAAAGCCGATGTGTCTCTCGAAATAGCATGCACGATGACAGATCTCCAGTGCAGTTTGACTGTCTCATCCAATCGCTCATCATTTCTCCAGATGATTTGATGCGTGGTCAGGAACAAGGTTCCTTGTCCAAATGCAGGTCTGGATGCAAATTCAATTCAGGAAGGAAAAGAATCAAGCAGAGATCTGAACTCATCCTCAATAAAAACAAAGCCACGAACATCAACAACAACCTCAAACATCAACAACCGCTCCTGGAAACAATTCCGAAGAACAAAACAGCCAAGATGGTTGTGAAGCAATCATCAAATCGTCATATAATCTGAGAGCCCATGCTCACCTGTCATCGGCATACAGGCTTACTCTCTGCTTGATGAATTTCACCTCCTCCTCTTCTCCCATGCTCGGCATCGTCTGCCCGCTCGAAAGCCCATCGCCCTCCGCCATTGCTGCACGGGCTGCTAGCTCTTCGCCCTCATACCCCTACTTCCTCGTAAAGCTTTCTTTTTAGTCTTTTTATTGTTTTTAGTAATGTTATGCAATCGTTCGGCATATGATCTGCAGCACTTACGATTTCTCATAGGACCATAAAGACATATTGATAGGACCTTCCTAGTACCTTCGTTCGGCCAGTCGTAGTCCCCAATGCTGCTCGGGGTTGAAGGCGTACAATGCTATATCCAGTGGAGAGGGGAGGGGAAGAAGAGAGCATAGGAGGAGGAGGAGGAGGAGGAGGAGAACAGAGTCGAAGAGAGAATAGGAGTGGCAGAGTAGCTGATCCAGAGATTTCTCCCTGGGTTGCTTGCCATGATCGCGGAGGTTGCTGAATGTTGGTGGTGCAGGATTGGAGGAATGTGAGAGGAGCGCTTGTGGTGAGGGCGGGCAGTCAGACAGCAGGTCGGCACTGACAACAGAGCATGGCGGAATCCTTGGATTCGGGAAGCCTGCGAGAGAAAATGTCGAGCAGTGCAGGGAGAGCGATGAACAAAGTCAAGAGCGTCATGGCGCCGACCTCCATTGCCAACGCCGGAGTGGCTGCATCGGAGCTCATCGGCGTCGTTGCAGCCGGTGCCATGGCTACCTCCGAGCAGCTGGTGTCGGGATTGAGCACGGTGGGGGGGGGGATCAGTGCTGTGGGAGGGAAGGTGGTGGGTGGGATGGATGTGTTCTGGAAGGAATCTCCAGAGGAGGATGCTCTTGCTCAGGTTGATGAGAAGAAGTGGAACAGTTGGTCAAAGCAGCAGGCAAGGCAGGGTGAGGTTGAGAAGACCAAGGACAGGCTCTCTCTCCAGGCCAAGATGATGAGCGCGAGCGACAGATCCAGCATGGGGGAGGGGGAAGCGCAGGACGAGGAGGGGGTTTGGCTGGACTTCGTGAAGCTAGAGCGGCTCAAGGCACACGCCTGTGAATGGGATCGGATTGGACGTAGCGAGGAGAACGCGTTGATAGACCTGCTGGACGGTCTGCCGAAGGATCCGATGGAGATGGAGGAGGTGGAGTTCGACGAGGTGGTAGAGGAGTACGTCAGGCTGAGCGATGCGGCGCAAAGGGACCTGGCGGACACTTGCCGGGCAAGATGGGGGGACTTCAAGAAGGGGCTGCATGAGGTGGAGATGCTGGAGCGAGAGCTCTCGGCCGCGAAGTTCGTCTGCTCGAAGGGAAGGTCTTCCCTGAACCTGGCTCGGATCCAACTTGAGGAAGGCAACGTGGCGGCCCACTTCAGGAAGAAGCAGGTGCTGCAGGAGGTCTGTGCGCTGCTGTCGCAGCTTGTGCAAGCTCTTGATCGAGAGGATAGAGCCATGGAGGCTCTCAACGGCAGATCGCCCGACTATGCCCTGGCAAGAACCCTCAGCAACGAGTGCTATTCGTTCATCGGGATTGCTCCTCCCCACAGCCCCTCCGACCCGCTGACCCATGTGTCTGAAGTAGGGGAGGAGGTTGGCCGGCATGTATCGAAGCTGCTCTGCGCCCAGGACGTGGCGACCCGCCTGTCGAGGCTGGAGGAGAGGTTCGACGTCAAGGTGAAGGACGGGTTGAAGGAGCTGTGCAAGAACTTTGACAAGCAGACGTTCGAGCGCATCTTCCTTGCATACGCGAGGAACGGACGGCAGTGGGAGCTGGGGGAGAGCCTGCATGGTCACTTCCTTGAGGGGCTCGACAAGGGGCTGCAGCAGATTATCTTCTCCACCGTGGCAGCGGACGCAGAGGAGGACGCGGTGACGCTGCTAACAATGTCCTTCGAGCAGCTGATCAGCAGGATCCCAGCTGAGCAGATGGTGATGGCCCTTCTCAGCTGCTACCAGCATATGTGCGAGCTCCTGTCTTCCCTGCAGTCCGTCCTCCTCTACATCAGGAAGAGCATGCGGCGGGCGGAGAGAGACGCCGTCCGCGTCCTGGTGTCGCAGGGGATGAGCGCAGGAGGGGCGCAGAAGCTGCTGGAGGATGAGAAACTTGCCATCGAAGAGTGCATGAAGGGAGCGGAGAGCGTCGTTGAGCCTCCCGACCTCTCCAGTGCCGGGAAAGGAAGCGAAGCGGGCGTACTGCAGAGGAGCGCGTCGGCAGAAGGTGCAGAGGAGGAGGCGCAACCTGCAGAAGAGGAGACTCCCGAGAAGGAGCACGAGGCAGACCTGCCTCCCCGGCAGAGTCTGGACGTGGAGGCTCCTGCGAGGATGAGCATCGATGAGAGCAGCACGGCAGGAAGCGCGATAACCAACACTCCCTCAGCGGCATCGCAGGGAGGAGAGAGAGTCGACGGTGAGAAGGCCGGGCAGAGTAGCAGCGTGTGGTCTCGCCTGAAGGCTGCGCGCACTATGCTCAAGACCGGAACGCCGTCGAAGGGGGAAGAGGCAGCGGCACACGCTGCCGGGTCCTTCTCGGACAAGGCGGGAGAGCACAAGGGGGCACAGGGGGAGAAGGGAAAGGCGTGGCGGTCGAGCGGGATATCCGCTATGTCAGGTACGACATCGTGCTGAAGTGGTGATAACGGCAGGAAGGGGAGAGCGCGGGGGAGGGAGGGAGGGAGGGGGGGGAATAGGGGACAGGGACAGAGAAAGGGAAAGTAGAAGGATGGGGGAAAGGATGGGGAAGGGGAGGAGTCCTCGGAGATGGGAGCTAATTCTAGGAGGAGGGGAATAAGGAAAGGAGCTGATTGAGCCCCTGACATCCTGGCACAGCCATGGCGGCAGCAGCGACGGGAGCAGGCAAGGCAGCAGCAGGAGCAGCTCAGAGCTTAGCTACTCATGCTCACATCGCCTCGCACTCGAGCGACGAACGGCACAGCTCTCATGCTGCCATGGCAGCCCACGAGGCCAACCACCTACAGGCGCCGAGCAAGATCAAGGAGAAGCTGGTGCGGGGAGGGTTCATGTCGGAGACCGGAGTAGCCAGCGCTAGAAGCTCCTCGTCAGTGTCCCTGCCCTCCTCCATCTGGATCCTTGAGCTGCTCCTCAACGGTACCCACATCTCCCTCTGGGATGAGGCGCAGAATCGCGTGCGCTCGCTGGTCACCCTCCCGAAGGTACAGGAGGAGGACGAGGACGAGGGAGGAAGGAAAAGAAAGACAAGGTTGAGGACAAGGAGGGAGGAAGAAGGAGAAGGACGTGGTAGGAAGGGAGGAAGAGGAAAGAAAGTGGAAGAGGAAGAGTCAGGTCTCTCTCGCTGAAGTGCATGGCAGATCAACAGTCTGAGGAGGGAGGAGTACTGCAAGCTCATGGCGGCCACCAATCGCTTCGCCAAGTTCGGGGAGGAGCTGACGCGCCTGCCAGCGACGCTGCGGGGAACGATATGGTCGGTGTGCCGAGATTACTACCAGATGTTCCACCGTTCCTCCATCCTCATGGTCCAGGTGAGCAGGAGGGAGGCAGGAGGACCAGGACGAGGACGGAGACGAGGAGGAAGAGGAAGGAGAATGCAGCAGGGAGGGTGCGAGCGAAGAAGAGTCGGGAGAGAGGAGACGGAGAAAGAAGCAGGAAGGGGAGAAATCAGAGGGGAGAGAGTTGAAGGGCAGACAAGGTTGAAGAGTATGAGACTTGTGCGTAGGATTTGTGGCAGTAGAGAGCGAAATGTTGTGTGAGGGCACAGGGGTTGGGGGAGCAGAGGGAGGAGGGAAGGGAGGAGGAAGGGAAGGAGAGAAAGAACGAATGAGAGGGGGAGGAGGAAGGGGAGGGAGAGAAAGAAGGAGGAAAGCAGGTGACTAGAATATCTTGTTGACATTGGAGCAGACGTCGATCGAGAGCGACTTTTGGCAGCCCTACCCGACAGGGGGGGGAGGACGGCTGAACCTGGCTACTGTCCAGGAGCTCCGCCCCTTCATCTTCTGGGAGCAGGAGGGGAAGGGCGGCGCAGATGCGAGGACAGGGATGCAGGACAGTGTCTGGTCAGAGTTCTTCGGGGAGGTGGAGCAGGGAGAGAGGGGAGGAGGAGACGTGAAGGCTGAGGAGAAGAAGGGAAGAGGAGAGGACAGTATCCCGCAGAATCCGTTTTCTCAGCTCAGCCTGGAATCCTTCGCGCTGCCTCCCATGCCCAAGGCGACGGCGAGTGAGGAGGAGGACGCGGAGGGTGGTGGGATGGAGGATGGGGCCCTTGTTCCTCGTCAGGTGCGTTGAGGAGAGAGAAGATTCTTCCAAGGATACTGATGGGCTCCTCCTCCTCCTCCTCCTCCTCCTCCTCCTCCTCCTCCTCCTCCTCCTCCTCCTCCTCCAGGTCTTCACAGGGGCCACCCTCAAGGTCGCTCGGCTCATC